AAAAAAATAGATCATAACTAAATTTATGCTATTTTTAAGCTAAAATTGTTACATGAACTCTACAGCTTAAGGGATATTATTGGCCAATTTAGAAATCATATAATTTCTTTGTATAACATAAGATATTGATATAATACATACTTAACCCCCCACTTTTTAAAATATTACGTAATAAATAGCAGAGCCCTTATATAATAGTAGTTTAAAAATTAAATCTGTGTTATTTTATTTGAGATATTATTCAAATTAAAGATCAAAATTTAAAAGACAAGATTTATAAAAATAAAAATTTAAATTAAAGTTTATACAGTATGGGACAGCTAAAGATATTCACTTTTTATATATAAAATATAAAAATATTTATAACCAAAAACAAATAACTTTAAAAAAAATCTGTTTTTTCAAATTTGTTGCTTTTAGTCTAAGAAACAATTTTGTTAAAATAGATTTTTATTTTTTTTATGAAACTAAAAAGTTTTTAGAGTTTAAAGTTTATATGTAATCAAAAATTTGGCATTTAATATATAAAAAATGTATATATATTTTTTAACCAATCAAAATTTATTACACAAAATTGGCTAATTATATTTGATTATATAATCTTAAATTTGGTGCTTTTTTAAAAAAAGTGGATATCTTTAGCTGTCCTGTACTGTATATTTAAATTTTGATATTAAAAAAATATAATGATAATAATAAAATTATAAATTCACTGTTCAAATTTTTATAATTTAAACTATAGTTCATATTTTGCAATTATTTTTTGCTTGCTCTAAATTTTTTATAACTTCTATTTTTGAAGCAGAACAAAGCTTAATTCAACATTATTGTAATTTAGAAGTTCAAATAAAAGGCCTATATAAAATATAATAAATATTTTATTAGCATAAAATAAGCCAAAAGATATATTTTATTAATATTTTTAGATCTATTTGTCCACTATTTTCATTTTCAACTTCTATGAGTTTTTTATAAATTATACTTTCAAACTCTTTTGGCTTAACAATATTTTATAATCTTGTTAAATTATCTATTATTTGCTCCTTATTATTCTTTTCTCCTTTATTTGAATACTTTAAGCATAAAATACATGTCTTTGAAAGATCAACTATTTTGCTATATACAGAATAAATAATATAAGGTATTAATTTCTATTTTTAGACTTTTTATTTTTTGCAAAAAAAATTTTGTATTAATAAAAATATTATTAAAAATAATAATTAGTCACATTATATTAACTATATCTATTAAATCAGTATTTGGGTAGTTAAAATAATGCTTAATAATGTTATAGTAAAAAAAGTGCCAGAAAATCTATAACTATAAGAAGGTTGTCAATATTTTATTTTTAATCAAATTATTAAGTAAATTAATTTTTTTAAAATTATGAGTTATTAAGCTATTTATTAATAATAAAGCTTCAATAAACTTATAGATCTCTTGTAGTAGATTCTTTAATATCAGAACTATGATTGTTTTTATTAAAACCATTCTGTAAAAAGGTTTTATATTATTATTTAAAATATATACCTCTATCATGGTATCTGAAAAATGAATTGCTAAATATTTTATTTTATTTCTAAGAGACTCAAGCTTATCGGAATTTTTAAAACTTTTAATATAAAAATAATCATGATTAGATAAGTTCTTTAGAAATTTTTCTAATCAGACTTCATCTTCATAATAATGAGTTTTATTATAGAAATATGGGCTATAGCTAACTTTATAGAAAAGGATCTTACATTCATGTTCCAGACAATATTTTGACACTTTTACATCTGGATAACATGTTGTCTAGAATCATCTCCATTCTATTTCAATATTGATCTTAATTTTTATCAAATTCAATATTGATATTTTCAATATTAAATAGTATCAAGTCAAATATTAACTTGATAACTTGGCTTTAGCATGGAGGATTTTCTCATTTTTTGGAAAAGTACAGGGTTTTTCATGCAACAATCAACCAATCAGAAACCATATTGTCAACACATGATATAACAGATGGATAATCATTGAACTACACAGCCATGTAATTTATATATTATAATTTAACTTTGAAGTAAAATAAATTACATTTTAGAAGAATAAAACTCTTCACCTAGCTTATAAACCAATTTACAAGTATAGAAACTTTATTAGAAAAGTTTTTAATAAGTTTCATGTTCTTTATTAATATTTTTAAACTTTTACATAATTAACAAAACTATACTATTGTACATAATAAACTAACATCTATTGAACTAAATATCTTCTGGTGTATAAATCTTTTGAAAAAGTTTGTAAATTTTATAATAAAATCAACATGTTAATTATTTAAATAATAACAGATAAGAAAAACAGAAAAAACAACTTCAAGCTTTGTAAATTGAGCAGTAAAATATACTTTTATTACCTCTTACTATAGAGTAGATAGTACTTCAACTATTAAAAGAATGACTTTTTCTAGCATAATGCAACTTGTGTTTCTTGAAAAGACATACTATTTTATTAGTAAACTATTGCGTAATTGGTTTGGTTTTTTTTAAGTTTACTTATACCTGAAAATTTTGGTTTTATACTACTATCCTATATGAATACTTGTGTAACATTAATCCCAGAAATTATCAGAATCGAATGTTCTCTATACTCTTGCTACAGTAAAATTGTTTAGCTATTTCTAAAGATCTTAGTGATTTTCATACTTGTTCAAAGTTTGTTATAAATAAACAAATAATATTATAAAAAATTTTTAAATTATTAAAGTATTTAGTATGTTACAATACCTATATTCTATATGATTTATAATGATTTTTTTATTATTATTTGTTAATTTAACAATATATTCTCAATTTCATGAAATTTTAATTCTTGAAGACACTATTTTTTCTTAATAAAATCAAATAATTTATTATTATATTTTCTTATTAATTACTTCATTCAGAAGTAAGTCTTTAGGGCATAAATTTACAATTTTTATATTGGTGCAAATTAATTTTGCCAAAGGTAACATTTGTAGATATTGTGTAGTAAACTATTAAAAATTATAAAAAATAAATTATAGCCTATTTAAATATTAAGTATAAAAGTGCTATTAAGGAAAAGCTGTTATTGGCTTTAATTATATTGTATATTAAATTTTAATTAAAGTTATCTTGATAACTACTATATCAAATTTGATATTATTTTTTTATTTGAATTCTACAAACATGCAGATTTCAAATAAAAAAATTTTATTAAATTTGGTGTAGTAGTTATCAAGATAACTTTGATCAAAATTTTAAATACAAATATAATTAAAAAGCTAATAACAAGATTTCTCTTAACAGTACTTATAAAAAATATTAAATCTATTTGCTTTCTCTTATTTTATAACTGTTAAACTCAAACAGAGAAAAATCTTTTTTACTTTCTACTTCAAAAGACATACTGAATTTTTTAGAATCATATTCATCACCCTCTTCTAGATTTTTAATACAATCTTTACCATCTTTACTATTCTTAGCATAATCCTTATTATCTTTAGTATTTTTAAAATCATTTTCATTATCTTCAAAATCTTCAGTATTATTCTTTCTATCTTCAACATCTTCAATATTACCCCTCTATCTTCAATATACTCAATATAATTAACAAAATCAACATCATCTTCTTTATAAAGTTCATCTTCATTATCTTCATCTTTCAAATCATTTTGGTACAAATAATTTATATTTTTTCTTTAGCACATTCTTTGATATATACTCACTATTTTGTAAAATTAGTCTTTTTTAAAGCTTGAGCATACAAATAAAATACCTTTGATGTATATTTAAAGGTTAAATCCTAAAAATAAAATTAATCAAATATTTATAAGTCTTTCTTTTAGAGAATTAATTTATAAATTTGTATGCACACTTACAAGAAAATTTAGCATTCAAGTATAGTGCAGCTCAAATAGTAGTTTATTCATAAATTATTATCAAATCATCATTGATATAATTAATATTGATATATATTATAAACTAAAAATTTGCCTCTTCATAATCTCTTTTAACATTAAGTTTATTTAACACTTTACTCATTACAAATATTAATTCATCTCTCAATGCCAAAAATATATAAAAGATATATATACTTTTTTCTGATATAAAACTAAAAGAGCTCTAAGTAATTTAGTTGGTATAATAAAACTAAAAAAAAGGTATATAAAATAAACAAGTAGCTATTAATTTCAAGTGTGCTAACTTTTTGAACAAGTGGCTAATTAATTTTAAATATATGAACTTTTACAGTAAATATAATATATTGTATATTGTATATTTAGCACCATATTAGTCATTTGCTAGTGCTGGCATGTCAGGGCCCTCATAATCCAGAGTGTGGATTAACTTAACAACCTTTTTTTTTGGCTTCCAAATTTAATATATCAAATTCTCTCAATTGAGATAGATACATCTAATTGGAATCTTGTAGTTCAATAATTAATCCTAATATGTTCATTAATCATATTTTTTTTTATTCTGCCTATAAAATATATAAATTTTATCTGTTTAATTATCCAATTCACACAATTTTTATATATCAATTTAGAGGTTGGAATTTTCTGTAAAAATTGCAGGGTTTTACTAGTAAAAATTACATATAATTGACTAAATCCAGTTAAAATTTAGCCTGATTTGGCTTTGTGCATAGTGTAAGGGGCAAGATTGACCCTATTAGTTCTATTTTTACACTATTACTATTGATCTTGATATTCCCAAGAATTCTTCAGATTATAGGAATCATAAAGATAATAAGAATAAAAATTATTCTTATTATAAAAAAAATAGTAGGAATAATTTAGCTTCAAAGAATTCAAATATATGTAAAGATAATTATATAAAAAAGAGCTTTTCTTCCAAAATAAAGAGCAATTAAGTTATACTTCAAAATAATAATAGTAGAAGTTACTTATCTTTTCCCTTTTTGTTCACAATGATTCGTCTATTTAACTTTGTCACTGTCCCATAAAAACCAATTAGTATATCATATAGCCCAAAGTAGAGTTTAACCTTTGAAATCTGAGTAGAAGTGTTAACTCTGAGTTTTTTATTAAATAAACCTTGTCCTGAATTCTTCTTTATCTCTTAGAGAAAATAGAAAACATAAGAAAGAGAAAGTTTTTAAATTAATAGAATCTCTTACTTATATAAAAACAATACTTGAATAACATAATTATTAGTTGGATCTACAATCAAATCTGTAACCTTGGTTACACCATCTAGTTATAGAAGCTTTGGTGAAATAAATTTAGGGAACTGGACAAACTGAAAACCTGTTTGAGAAGTCCTAAGTTGGGAGGTAGCATGATCTTCAACAGTACTACAGAAAGGCTAAATTTGAAAAAAGGAAATGAGATCAGAAAACTAAGCAACCAATCTGGACACACTAGCTAAACTACTAGTAGAAGTGCTAGAGGAAAAGGATATATGCTCTAAAAGTATGTACCAAGGGAAGGGCGACTATAAGGCACTTAAAGCCTAGGCAGACTGACCCTTCCGAGTTGCCAGCTAGAAGGAGAAGAGACCAATAAAGAATCTGGAAAAGAAGGAGGTTTGAATGTGAGTATTGAAGTTATGTGAACTGAACAAGTACAGGTAATTGTAGAGGTTTAATGGTTAGTTCTAACCTCAAGTACATGAGTAAAGCTGTGGCATAATTACTAGTAAGTCTAAGTAGCTACATGTATGAGACATGTACTAGCTTAGCTGGATATTACCTTAGGGGTTAAGTAGCCCTAGGGCCTAACCATAGTTTGGTTTATCAGAGGTTCCACATGTGGAAGTAAGTTACAATCAGAGGGTTTAAATGGGTAGCCCTGTAGTTTGGGTTACAGATATGGCAAATAGTATAGAACTCTAAGTAAAATGGCTTAGATGTGGACTACTTAAATTAGGCATCAAAAGTGCGGGTTCGGGTCATTTCCCCGACAACCAATTCCCCGACACTTAATTCCCCAACACTCAATTCCCCGAAATATCATTTTACCTACCCTTATTTTGCTGAAAATTATTTTACCTACAAATTATTTCACTGACAGTTATTTCATCGCCAGTCATTTTGCTGACAGTTATTTTGCCAAAGTTATTTTGCCGACAATCATTTCACCGACAATTATTTCATCAACAATAATTATTTATTACACTTCCGAATTTTAAAATTTATATCCGTAACATACATTGTAGTAGGCTTGAATTTTA